TGCTTCACGGGATCGGACAAGCGACCCAGTCAGAAGATCCGGCGAGAAACTTTGTAGGCTGTGTCTGTGGGTTAATATACTCGCCGACCCCTTCGTCGCAAGCGACAGGTTCGACGAGAACGATGACCGGTGCTTGAGGTACCTACAATCACCGTTAGTTAGAGCTTATTTGCGCCATAATAAGTCCACTAATCTATTATTGCTGGAATTACCTGACTTTATCAACTATTAAAAGTACCTATACTACGAGTCGCGTACAGTTACACAAACATGCTGGCAAAATTATGTGAGAGTAAGTAAACAGACCCGAAGAATAACATCAGTGTTTTATTTCAAGATTTGTGAAGTTTATAGATACCTATTGGAATCTTTAATGTCTAAAACGTTGGAGTGATATAAAATGGTGTAAATTTATTAAGCGGTATTGGCTTTGTGATTACATACCTACATCTTTCAAGAATGTACTCATTATTTTGCATTCAAAGTTTATTGCATAGATGGGTGAGCGAGTTCACGGCCCGAATAGTTTTAAGTTTTAAGGGGCTACCGGAGCTCAAAGACATTAACCATGTGACTGTCATCTATCTAGGTACCTTGATACACGAGGTATTTAAACATCTAATTTCTATTGTAAATGTAGTAATGTATGTTGTATGACGACATGACGACGGTCCGTTTAAGCTAACGCGTCACTATTTCACAGCAGAAAATGGTAAAATGATTGTGTGGATTTACAATGCGCAGTGCCACCAATAAGTATAATTAATATAATAAAATCGTTCTCTATAGAATTCAAAAATTATGCGATAGGACAGGTAGCAAATGCACTTTTAACATTAATCACTTCAAAATAGTTATGAAAGTACCGTCAAATACGCCAACTTTGCCACGAGGGTAAACTTTGCCCAAAACACACTTTCTAAGAAAATCAATTAATATCATAAAAAGTACCAAACTTACTACAGTGTTTATAACATTGGTAGAGAACTTCGATCAACAATAATAACTAGATTTCGGGTCGGCGCAAAAATCCGTCTCGTTAAATAACAGCGCACTTGAAATGTGAGCTCTTATTTTGTTTAGTTCACTTCAACACAGCCATTTTTTTTTTTTTTNCGGTATTGGCTTTGTGATTACGTACCTACGTCTTTCAAGAATGTACTCATTATTTTGCATTCAAAGTATATTGCATAGATGGGTGAGCTAGTTCACGGCCCGAATAGTTTAAGCTAACGCGTCACTATTTTACGGCAGAAAATGGTAAAATGATTGCGTGGGTTTACAATGCGCAGTGCCACCGATAAGTATAATTAATATAAAGAAATGTTTCTCTATAGACTTCAAAAATTATGCGATAGGACAGATATCAGCTGGAGTCATGGTCCAGACGGCTGGCCGGTCCTTCGGCTGGTCGTAGGACCGTCGAGGCGATTCGCCCGGTTCTTGTGAACTGGGTGAATCGTGACAGAGGACGCCTCACTTTCCGGCTCACGCAGGTGCTCACTGGGCATGGTTGCTTCGGTGAGTTCCTGCACCGGATCGGAGCCGAGCCGACGGCAGAGTGCCACCATTGTGGTTGCGACTTGGACACGGCGGAGCACACGCTCGTTGCCTGCCCCGCATGGGAGGGGTGGCGCCGTGTCCTCGTCGCAAAAATAGGAAACGACTTGTCGTTGCCGAGTTGGCATCGATGCTCGGCGACGACGAGTCGTGGAAGGCGATGCTCGACTTCTGCGAGTGCACCATCTCGCAGAAGGAGGCGGCGGGGCGCGTGAGAGACGCACAGGCCCGCCGCCGTCGAGCGGGGGCCAGGGAGGCGGATCTCGCCCAAGCCCTGGCCCTCTAAGTGTTTCGGGTCCCCCTCATATGTCGGTCTGGGGCCCGGCGAAGGGGGCCTAAGAGGACGACGTGCAAGCTGCTCTGCACGCGTTTTACGCAAGAGCATTCGGGTCATGGAAAGCCGGCTATCCTCGACCCACGCTGGTTCTGACCCAGCGGGGTATTCCGTAGGATAGACCATTCTAACCGGCGCCATCTAGGCGGGCTTCGGATAGCCTGCCGACCGAGAGGGCTGGTGGTCGTGGCGCCGACGACCGCCAGTCCGGCGTCCCGAGGGGGAGGGTGATGGGAGAGATGTGCTCCGCACTAAACGCTTCACTTTCCCTCCTTTGCCTTTTCATGAGCTCTGTCTCATGCGAGGCTTGGATGCTGGTTGTTGAGCGACAAAAGGTTTTAGTCGGTTCGACTCCGACATGCCCCGCCGCCATCCCCAGTGAAGGGCGGAAGACCGGCGATTTCCTCTTGAAAAAAAAAAAAAAAAAAGACAGATAGCAAATGCACTTTTAACATTAATCACTTCAAAATAGTTATGAAAGTAGTTCACTGCAGAATTAAAGTGGTCTTGTACTCATTATATAACAAAATTATCATATTATACTAGGTAGCTGTTACCCGCGGTTTCGCTCGCGTGTTCAAGTAAAAGTATCCATAGTCTTTCGTGGGAATTACATGTTTTTTGGGATATAAAGTCATTCTCCTGACTTATCATTTTAAGATTTAGATTAGACTGTAAAAGTAGTTTTAAACATGTCTACGACACCCGAAAATCGGAGCAAATATTAAAATTGGTAGGTCAGTTGTTGAAAGTAAGCATTGAGGTCTCTGAGGCCAGGATCTTTGGCATTCATAAAATGTATTAAAACAACTACTTAACTAAAATATGGAGATTTTATTGACTTGTAACAAAGACATGCTTTTAAGACTAAACCAAGTGACAACCTCCCAAGTATGAAGGCGAAATTCATGGAGGAGGAAAAATATGGAACCTCATTATTAAGCACGTTGCTATTAGATTTTGACGTGTTTATATGTATTGCATACGTAACGAAATTTTTGAAAGTTATTTTCAGACTAAATTTATTTACGATTAACTTGAAATCCATGGAAGAACCGATGATAATACAATAATTTTACTACGTCGCTATGCTATTTAGGCATGTTTTTTTAGTTTTTAAACTATACGATATAGATCTCTATATTATTTTAATTAAAACTGAAGTTCTTTTGCACTCGAGATAAAACATACGGGTATTTAGGCCCGATTCCTTTTAACGTCTTAATTTAAAAAATATTTATATAATATCAATGGCTCTAAAAGTGTTTTATAAAAATAGACTTTGTAAAGATGAGGTCACACGGTATATTATACTGTGTTAGCTGTTTGCAATAATAAATAACAGTAAAAGGTTAACAGGTGCAACACAATTAAACGTACCTATTATAGGCGTTCAGTTTATGAATGTAACATAAATAAAAACCTTAAAGATACAAAAACAAACAGTAAAAATACCCAGTTCAAAAAAACTTTAGTAAACAGAAAAAAGTCAGAATAGCTTTGGATTAACCATCAGATAAAAAGGATACAGTTCATGAAATACAAATACTAGAAATAATTTTTATGAAGTACTTATAGCTTTCTCCGCGGAATAGATAATTAAGGCCACCTTACTTATCTATTCCGTGGTTTTCTAGGTGTATCACGAGCGATGATAACATGTGCTCGTTATTGAAATAAAATGTTAAACCAATTATAAATTTTGTCGATTATTTATGAATGTTATTTATTATTGTAATTTCACCAATCTGTAATCGGGATTGATTGTTCAAACTATTTAGGTACATGATAAATTTGCTATTTAGTAGTCAACCATAAATTGTTCTTAAAAAAAATATGAAAAAAATTATTTGATGTGCATGGGGATGAACACATTTTTTCCAGTTACAAATTAATTTAAAATTATTAAGAGCTTATTTACTTTTATTTGGTCAGTTGAGAGCAAATCAAAAAATCTGCTAATCAAAAACTCTTATGTTTTCTAATAATGTTCATATAATTCAGCAAAAACATAGATACCTATGTTATGTTTGGTTTATTTCGTATTTTCATTAATTTTATTAGAGTTCTTGATAAAAAAAAATCTTTACTTTTACATTAAATAAACACACCACCACAAAAATGAACATATTATATGTTCCATTCAATTAGACAACCAGTGGAGTTTAATTTAGACAACCAGATAAATTATGCTTCCTAGTAAAAGTCAACAAACCTTTTTTTACTACTGCATTTTATCTGTACTTAAAATATTCGAAAATCTCAAAAATAATTTTATTATTTACAAAACTTTGTGTCACTTTGTTTTATCACAAAACTTTTTAACTATGTCTAAATTTTTATAACGCTTATCTAACTAGTAATTTTCAACAGCTGCAAAAATAAATTCGAATTTATAAGTTTCTTAAAAAAAATTAACAAAAATGTTGGTTATTTTTAAAGAACATCTTTTATTAACATAATATTACTATATTATCACTAATAGTATTTGCAAATAATATTAATAACGTCAAAGAAGCCAATAAGTAAGTAAAAAGTTCTTTTTTTTTGTTAAAATTAAATACATAAGGTAAGAATGAGTAGATATAGAAACCTCTTCAAAAACAAACAGTTCCTCCCAAGAATTTTGGGTCCCATAGCACTTTTTTATTTTATCTGAAACTAAACTGATGAAAATTTTCAGTTAAATGTATCAGGAACATTATAAGAAATGTGACAATACTTTTTTTTTCTTCTTTGAATCAAGTATACCACAAACTGAAAACATTATTAACAAGCCCAAACAATATTAAATGATGTTCATATTGCAAATAAAATAAACTACAGCAAATAGTAACAAAATAATATGTAAGATAAAAAAGATATATGTTCATATTTTTTGTAAGCTCAAGAAAGCAATCTTACTTTTGTATTTTCATTAATATGCTTCAATGACTGATATGTTTTGAACTATAGTCATAACTGCAGGCTTTTAGCTTACTAAACTATTACTTTAACAATATTTATAATTTAAAACTCTATCGCACAATTGGTTTTTCTTCTGTCTGGAACTATTCAGATTAAATTTCTTATTCTTTCTATTATGCTTATTAAACCATAAAATGTTTGTAAAACAATTTTTATGATTACCCTTTAATAGAATGTAGCACCAATCCAACTTCAATTGAATTTACAATAATAATATATGATTAATTAATAAAAGTATGCAAATCTATAACAAATTAGTTTATCATTGGTGAGTTGAGTTGACTATCATATACAACTATGCCTTTTCCATGATGGCTATTTTTCAGCTAAATAAATTAACAACTTTGGCTTTACACATCACAAACATGACATGAGTTTTTTTATAAAAGCATTAAAATTCTATTTTATGTCAACATTATTAATTCATAAGGCATTTTATCAGTATTCTGGACAACGAGTGTGAGGAATTTTTTTTGCACCAGGCGGAGGAGAAACCTCTGATATTGCAGTGTGCACTACAATGGCTGGTTGTGTTGGTGTGGGTGCGTGTAGCTCTCGACTTTCACCAGGAGATAAACTTGCAAGTGCCGCTAAAAGGTCATGATTCACAATGGGTTCACCTTCTTCTCGAGGCTCCCAGCCAACTGGAGGACTTGATGGAGGTGAAATCAAAAATTGCTTAACAGGCGCCGGGGGTCTGAGATTCTTAAATGAAATTGGTGTCACAGGTTGGGCAAAATAGCAATTTATGCATGAATCGTAAAATTGGTATTGATGTAATTGAATTCGTGCATTTGCGGCAGCTAAGGGGCTGTCATAATTAACGCGTAATCTTTTGAAACTGCGGAGCCACTGAAACGTTACATTTTCCGAAAATGTACGGAATAAGTCTTCCATCTCTTTTTTCAAATTTTCATCAGAAAAAACGATGCTATTAATGTTTGTTACAATAACAGATTTAGGTAGGTCATCAAAGTTGTCGACTTCATCTTGAGTATCACTTTCTTGTTCAAAATTAACTATATTAGGATGAATATTAGGCATTCCATCTTCTGGATTTATGTAAACGTTTTCTTCGGGAAATAGATCGTAGTCTTCTTGGTGTGCCATGTTTCCCCGCTACTGTGTAACGTATATAACAGTATCTGAATATTTATATACAGTAATACCATTAACAATTCTACTGTTAGCGCTTAGGATATTTTTATTTATTGAATTTTTCAATTTGACTGTATTTATGGTATTTGACAGCTATCGATTGAACATAGATAATACACATAATTTATAAAACTGAAGATTGAAATCGCTTTTTAGTTTAAAGTACCGTACTGAACGACCATTAGCTATTCAGTATTTTAGTCTAATGTTAGCTATTCAAATTCTTCAACCTTCAATAATAAGCCACAGTAAAAAGCGAGAGCTTACTAAAACTTACTATATTAGGAGAAGCCTTTTTTTATGATTGAGGGCTTACTGGTGGCCCGAAGGCCTTTCCAGTTTCACAAGGACAGGTAGAAGCCATGTCAAGAGGCTATTCTCGGCTTCTTATATTTCTCTCTTTCTCGAATTTGTTCTCAAAGTCACAATATTCATCGGTGTCCAAAATAAAGCAAAATTAACATAGCTTCGCTCCTTGCATTCTCTGCCAAAATAATAGGACATTATGATCTTATTGACAACCTAAAGACACTGCTAATATAAAATGACGGTAGTCTACTAGTTTATGTGTATTATTATCTATAGGTAGTTTTGAGCACTTTTATGACTTATTTATTAATGCGGTGTACAATAATCGAAACATGTTATCAGAGATATTGTACTTCAGTAACGGAAACATTAGCTATACAATTAATAAAATAGTGATAGAAATTACTAGCCGTTAGCCGCGGTTTCGTCCACGTGGCTGTGAAACAATGTCAGTGTAGTTTATGAGGACAATGACATCCTTTTTAGAATAAAAGGTAGCTTAGTATCTGTGAAAGTGCACAAGTATGAAAAATGAAACAAGTCCAAAAAGTCATAGTAAATAACCACCATTTTACTGAATCTCTCTACAAAACTTGCATACGCCCCGCCATGACGTATGCAAGTGTAGTGTTCGCTCACGCGGCCCGCACCAACTTCAAACCCCTTCAGGTTATTCAATCCCGTTTTGCAGGATAGCCGTCGGAGCACCATGGTAAGGAACGTGGATCTCCATTATGACCTGGAGCTCGACTCAGTCAGTAAATATCTAGAGTCAGCATCATTGCGCCACTTTGAGAAGGCTGCATGACACGAGAACCGTCTTGTCGTGGCCGCTGGAAATTACATACCCGATCTTGTAGACTGAATGGTACCACAAGCATCGGTCATCGTCCTCGTCGAACCCGTCCCCTGCGACAAAGGGCTCGACGAGCGAATTAACCCACAGACACAGCCCACTGAGTTTCTCGTCGGATCTGCTCAGTAGGTCGCGTTTCCGATGCGGTAGTAGGTTCTGCGAAACACTGCTCTTGCTAGGGCCAGTGTTAGCAACACTCCGATTTGAGCCCCCTGAGCTCACCTACACGTTAGGGCGAAGCTGAAATAGGCTCTCACTCAAGGCTATCAGCATAAGTAGGAAAAAAAAACTGAACCTTTTTTAGTAACATTTGGTTGTGTTCATAATCTTTCATCTCTCATCTCATGTCGTTTCAGTTAGTTTCACCTCAAATGATTACAATCTTTAATAAATCAACTTTATTTCTTTTGGCTCACATTATAATATATTCATTAACAGCAACCTATTCCTCGAAATGGTTTTTTGTATCAAAAAGAAAAAAAATCATCGATACTCATTATAAAGTAATAGCTGATATGGAAATATTTTCTGAGTAGTTGGAAGTATTCGTGAACTTTATATAATATATTACGTACATATTTAATTAGAAAATGCAACCTCTCTGCAAGATTTGAATACTGACAATGACATAGTCGATTAGTCACATCGTTCGATCCACGACGGGCGTCTTATCCTTTAAATCACGACGACTTCGAACATATGGCCTTAGTCTTCATGGTCATAAATTTCTAGTTAAAACAACATGTCGTTTATTTTTATTTAATTTTTTGGTTTTTATGACCTGGTATTTCCAACCTTTAGGTCAAACATGTCATTTAAATAATGGTAATGAAATTTATATCTCAATATAACATTAATTGTTCTCTCTGTCATGTTTATAAAATTTGCTATCATAAGTTTGATATTTAATTTTGGATTGAACAAACTCGATGCTAGCAATAATGCATCACAAGAAGTTCGCTTCTCGAGTCCGCTTCGAGTAGGTATAATGGCTTAGCTATAGATAATACAAATAATATAAGACCTTAAATTATGTGTATTATCTATGGCTAAGTCAACCAATTCATTTATCATGGACTTTTGGCGGGAACGCGAGGAGTGAAGCTGTGTGATTTGTTTTATTTTGTCTAGTTAGTGTTTCTTCAGATTTAAATGTGTAATAGCGGTGGTTTATTAACTGTTTAGTATCTGTGAAAGTGCACAAATTTGGGAAAATAAAACAAAGCCACTGAACGTAACTTCTCGGGATCTTCCAAAAAGTCCACTGAAAAAGTCTCAGTAAATGACCACCATTTTACTGAGATTATGCTTCATCCCATATCATCTCATCTCATGTCATTTCATTTCGTTTTCATTTCACTTTAGGTTTCATTATAATCAACTTAATTTTATTTCATAATATCATTTTCATTTAAAAAAGTTACGTATCATTAAAATTAAAATAATACTTGACCTAAAAGTCTTAGTTACCAGGTCATAAAAGCCCTTCAAAAAAAAAATTCATTTATCATCAGAAATTGTAATGTAGGTAATTGATAGGTACATGTATTTAAAGACTCGCATAACTTAAATAATTACTTAAGTTGGAAAAATTAAGTAGGACCACAATTCTCCAAATATTATGAAAATGGCGGGATTAGAATCAATGGTAGTTGAAGAAATTAAACCGACAGAAAAACCGGTGGACAGAGAAAAGGTACTTTGTTAAACAATATAATTGATAATTTTTTACTATAAACAGCATTTACTTTAAATTAATGTTCGCCAACTGATTTTAATTTGACCATAATAATCAACAAAAGATTCAAATCCGTTGTGTCTACTAAAGCTGTTCTTGTCTGTGTTCTTTTTTGTTTCGTAATTGACATTTTTTCTTGTTAATGTGAGATATAAAGTAACAATCTATTTGTTTTCGATAACACTAAAGCTCGTTCATTAGGATAATAAATAAAACACAATAATTGAATTGACAGAGGAGGAAATTTGTTATGCTTTTTCCTGATTATATAGAGATATAAATTTAACCTAAAATGTTTCAGACCTGCCCTCTATTGCTCCGTGTGTTTTGTTCAACTGGCCGACATAATTCTCCTGGAGACTATGTTAGAGGAAACGTACCTCAGAATGAATTACAAATATATACATGGATGGATGCTACACTGCGAGAACTTACAGGTCTTGTAAAAGAAGTTAATCCTGAGACGAGACGGAAAGGCACATACTTTGATTTTGCCATTGTGTATCCTGATATGCGTTCGCCTACATATCGTATGAGGGAAATAGGAGTTACATGCTCAGGACAGAGAGGAGGCGATGATAACAAGACACTTTCACAACTGAAATTTCAAATTGGGAACTATCTAGACATCTCAATAACACCCCCAAACAGAATGCCACCACCAATGAGGCGTCCACAACCATATATTAATAATCGTCAGTACTGATAATTAATTTTAATAAAAGAATGTGTATCAACTGTGTTCTTTCACTTGATTAAAAAGGTGAAGTTGGATTTCATTAAATTACTATTATAAAGGGGAACGCCCACTCTCCATAGTGTTCTGGGCCCAAGATGGACATCAAATATTACTATAAAAATGGACTATTTCTTAAATATAAGAAATTCTTAAATATATTGGATATCTAAAAAATATATTGAAATTGATGCCACTATTATAAAAATAAAATAAAAAAATCGTTTTGAGGTTTATTTTCTATATAAATAAGTGTCGGATTATGAGTTACTTCAAGAACTTTTCTTTTATTAATGTTTAATTTATTAATTATGATAAGGGAGATGTTCCTAATGTAAATTTATCCAATTGTAGTTATTAGGGTATAAAAAACACATGTTTTTTTAAATATCTATGCTTTCTTCATCTTCATACACAATTAATAAATCATCTAAAAATAGTGCAGGAGGGCACATCCACGGTTTTGAGTCTCGTTCAGCTTAAAACCACAATTCACACTTATGTTTTAGTCGTAGAATGAAACATTATTGATCGATATCCATAATCGAATGTAGCTGTGATCTTTAACTCCTGAGCCAAAGTCGTCGTCGAAGGGAAGATAAAACCCATAAAACAAAGTCAGTAAAATAAATCGAGGAAAAAATCAAAACACATCCATTTTTCCATTGTAACCACAAGCAGCAAGCGAAGTGTCAGTCAGTCAGGTTTTTATTTTAATTATTTTGAAGTCGTCGTGGCCTAACGGATAAGACGTCCGGTGCATTCATATTGAGTGATGCACCGGTGTTCGAATCTCAGGCGCGTACCAATTTTTCTAATGAAATACATACTTAACAAATGTTCACGATTGACATCCATGGTGAAGGAATAACATGATGTAATAAAAATCAAACCCGCAAAATTATAATTTGCGTAATTACTGGTGGCAGGATCTCTTGTGAGTCCGCGCGGGTAGGTACCACCACCCTGCCTATTTCTGCCGTGAAGCAGTAATGCGTTTTGCTTTGAAGGCAGCCGTTGTAACTATACTTGAGACTTTAGAACTTATTTATTTATTTTTATTTATTACACTNAGGAATAACGTGATGTAATAAAAATCAAACCCGCAAAATTATAATTTGCGTAATTACTGGTGGCAGGATCTCTTGTGAGTCCGCGCGGGTAGGTACCACCACCCTGCCTATTTCTGCCGTGAAGCAGTAATGCGTTTTGCTTTGAAGGCAGCCGTTGTAACTATACTTGAGACTTTAGAACTTATTTATTTATTTTTATTTATTACACTTCATGTAAAATTTACATTGGCGGACTTAATGCCTAAGGCATTCTCTACCAGTCAACCAAAGGTAGTGCAGAGTGAATAGTGGTAGGTGCAAACTTATATCTCAAGGTGGGTTTTTTTACTTTTTAGATGGGTGGACGAGCTCACAGCCAACCTGGTGTTAAGTGGTTACTGGAGCCCACAGACATCTACAATGTAAATGCGCCACCTTGAGATATAAGTTCTAAGGTCTCAAGTATTTAAGGTTACAAGTTGAAGTCCAATGGGTATGTCTTTGATGTTACTTTATGTGCTTATAATCGATTAAAATCGATTGATTAATGTTAATACTTAAAATGTTTTATTTATATGTTTTATTTATGCACCTAAAATGTTAACATATTACGTAAAAGGTTTGAAGCTGGCAATATTTTTCCCGCAAAAATCAAAAACCTTGTTTTTTCAATAGAGTTACTTTTTTTAAACTACTTATTGTAAACTGTAGTGGCGATCATTTGGAAGAAATTAAATGCTTATTTATTTGTGACAAAATTAATGCACTAAGTAGGTACATATTTTTTCTCTAATCTATTGTCCACCTTGGGCCTGAAATGGGCATTCCCCTTTATATTTGTAATTACAAAGACAAATTTATAATAACAGGTCCAAAAAAACCAAAGGTCTACTTCAAATACTGTTTTGACACTTATGATTTCCTTCCTGAGCTATGGATTTTTTTTTATCAATAGACAATTATTCTCACAGCTGACCTCTGGTATATTAATAAAATTTAGAAGGTATACATATATATTAATTATTTTTTTGTTGCGAGTTGACATAAAACCTATTGCATGGCCAGTTATAAAAAAAAAGACGAAGAAAAAAAGACTGTCGCCGACCGCACTGCACGCATTGTGCACGGACCCGCCGTTTATATTTCATCTTATTTATTTTTTGGAATTTTACTATGTACTTTTCTCTTATGAACTGCTACGGGCGATCATCCTCGTCATTGTCCGAGTGTTACAACGGCATAGCGAACACAAATAAATTAGAGGAGAGCTGTCAAGCCGTTAGGCCGAGCGCCGCCAATACGGGTCGTCCACCAGTCACGTTTCTTGGATTCTGCAGCCTGCAAGAAGCCAGCGACGGGTTGTTAGGTACGTCTACTTCTCATTACCTAGCCTCGGCCTGCCCTTCTTTTTGATCATTTGTTGGCGATACTCGCGCCCGCAAGAACCTTCATAAATATAGAACCAGAGCATCGCTGTGGTGAACATTTTTAAAAGATTTAGTTTTTTCCCCACTACAAAAGTTCAACTATCATATCGAGCGGTGAAAGGCTATCTGATATAAGCGAGATTTCGTTTAATACGCGACATTTATCATGGAACTTTAATTAAGTTGACCCCAATCAATTAGCTGAAGTTTTTTTTTAAAACAAATGGCATTTCACTCCTCCATCTGACGTCAGGTATGTATGATGAAAGCTTTTTCTCACATTTTAATTAGCATTTAGTACATGCAGCACAATTTTTTTAAATAAAAAAACATGCATGTACTCAAGTTCAGAAACAATTTCCTTTATTTCTTTTTGCTGAATATAATAATCCATGAATAAAACAAATTATCACTTTAATAATTTTATTTTGATTGCACCTAATTTGTTGGTTTATAAACCTTAACAGATTCCTTGTTTATAAACAACAAATTGAGTTAATGTCGACACAGTTTAATGACAATTNTTTTTAAATAAAAAAACATGCATGTACTCAAGTTCAGAAACAATTTCCTTTATTTCTTTTTGCTGAATATAATAATCCATGAATAAAACAAATTATCACTTTAATAATTTTATTTTGATTGCACCTAATTTGTTGGTTTATAAACCTTAACAGATTCCTTGTTTATAAACAACAAATTGAGTTAATGTCGACACAGTTTAATGACAATTAAAATGTACCTACTATAAAAATAGTCCCTAAAATAAATATACAATACCTAAATCTAATGATTGACGGGTGACCTGAATGGTCTCTTGGTTTTCTTACCCATGGCAGAGAGATCTATTGTGATACCATTGGGTAGGACAGCCTTATTTTCTTGGTAGTCTATAAAACCCTTCTGATCTTTTTCTTCCTTGTTCTTGTCGCACAGGATACCAGTTTCGTAATTGTATTCGCGTTTAAGACCATCAGGGTCGACATAACCGTATTTACCGCGGGTAATACAGTCTATTCCAATGGTTTCTTCCTTAAAAGAACCGTCGTCGTTTTCGAAGCCCCATGTAATGCTTCCATCCTCGTTTTCATCTCTGTATTTACGAATAATTTGAGCGACTGGTTTCTTTTCTCTTGTATTAGTTGGGTTGTACTTCTGTTGTGTGTTTCTGACGGGGGCGCGGATTGGCTCCTGAGGTCTTGTGTACTGTCTGACAGGCTGGATTTCTTCTTCCTCTTCTACAAAAGGCTTAGTTTCAGGCCTGAATATAGGTCGTTGAGGTCTATTGGAAAGTGGTTGAATTCTGGCAGGTTGAGGTTTGTTAATTGGTTCGTTTCTGATAGGGTTGAAAGGTGTGGGTGAAGACGGTCTGTATTGCGTGGGACGGATGGGATCTAGCTTGACCGGGCTAGGAGAAGATTGTGGGAACGGGTTAAAGATTATGGGTGGTTTTGGCTGAGAAGTGGTGGTGATGTCGTAGAAGTCATTTTGAGGTTCGGGTGTAGAGTAGCCGCTGGACGAAAAAGCTGTAGGAGTGTTAATTTCGTATTCATCTTCTGGTTCTTCAGTAACAGGTTTCGCAGGTTCATCAAGTGACTGAAGATTTGGACGAGGTGAGGCATCCACGGATTTAAAAGACGGTCTGGCAAATCCTGGTCTTCTTACTCTAGGAATTGAACCAGGTACCGGTGCTATCCTTCCTTGCCTGAAGCCGCCTTGCCTGACTGGTCCTCCGACAGGAATGGCTCCTGGTATTTGTAGTCTCGGTGGAATAGGAGAGTCATTTTGTGCATAAGCTGTTAAAGCAAACAACATAGAAATCTGAAAATAGAAAAAAAGAGTTTTAATTATATAAATTTTAGGTTTAAGTTATCGTGTAATGTATGACACACTTAAGGCGTTCATTTTAATACTTTTACGCATTAGACTAGACATCAATTTTTTAGTAATAAAATACCAAACATAGAACCAAAAACGGATGAAGTAAAAGAAATACCTAAACAAGAAATAGAGAATCTTCCTCTTGGCACGTTGTAATAGCTAGGTATATGTATACAATATGTATAATCCAAGAAGGGTGGATTTGAGGTCAGTGATCAGCCATAAAACTCATGCCTTATCATACTGCGCCTACCTCACATAAAGGGGGATGAGGGCGAGAAAAAGAAAAGATATGCGTACCCGAAACCTGAGAAACGAAAAAGTGTCGACTACACCTAGAACTGCAATCACGTTAAGTAAAGATTTTGATTCTAACGGTCAATCGCATCCGGTCAAGATTTGTATAAACAAAAGTAACCCGATTATTGTCATAGTTATTGGTAGTAACCATATTTAGTGAAGATTACCATAATTATTAAAGCAATAAAAAAAAATAAAAAAAAAATTCAAAGAAACAGGGGTTATTAATACTTAAACATTGTTGAAAGTTAAGCTAAATACAGATTAAAATTGTGAAAAATCAAAATCTCTACCAGAATTAAGTCGTGTAAAGTGTATAAAGCAATGGCATACTTTCTATCGTGGACCTTGCACGATGCTTACACCTGACAGATTTATCCGGTGAGACGTATTCATGGCGCGCCTTTTCGTTCCATTGTTATGTATTCAAATGTCTGAGATTGTATTACGAGTTCACGGAGAACTTGTGCGTAATTTGTGAGGGCGACTTTTCTATTGAATAAAGACTTATGTAGGCTAAGGCTGTGTTGATTGTGGACTGAGTGAAATTATAATCTATATGTACCTAAATACTGTGTACTGTATATTGTGAAGGACATGCGCCTGTATATTCAAGATTATTGTAAAAAAACCTAGTTATGTGCGTTATTACATCTAATTTAGTGTTTGAAGGTTAGCGGGTAACCGGATGTTTTTGACGACGGCTTTGATTTGAAGCCCAGCAAAGCCGTTGTACAAATACATGCGATACTTCAATCATACGACGAACAAGATGAACGTTGGGTAGTCACCCATATTGGATGTGAAAAGGTTAAAATCCCTTTAGATAGCACTTGGACAGGAGTGAAAGTAGTCTTGTTTGTGTTGTAAAATAAATACATTTGTTTATTTAATCTCGATGATCGCAAATAATTCTTAATTTTAACAACTACCAACGATTTAATAAGTGCGTGTTACGTCAGTTTCATAATAGTTTCAGAGTCGGTGAATCAAGAAGTTACTTAGTTTATACATAATTGATAACCGGATAAACGATTACCTGACAATAGAAACGCTGCGGTGGATTTAATTAAAAAAATTAATGTGCATAATTGAAATTAGCATATTTTCAAGTATTATTTAATTACATCACACACGATATAATTGTACGATCAATTAACAATTCGATTTGTTACGTAACCCTTAATAGGAATAAAGGTGGCTGAGATTAATTAGGTAACATAAGGATTATGTGGCCTGTTTAGAGTGCATGGACTGTTATCACCATGTATATTTCTACAGAGATGTACCTAATCAAATACAATAGGCACCTCAAAAGATCTTGGTTTTTATAATATATTAGCAGTGGGCTCAACTACATTTCGGATAAATAAAACACTTCTATAATTAACAGTATCTACGTTATGGTTTAGAGTAAATAGACTTGAAACATTTTAGATTGTAATCAGCAATTCATATTTCGCAGTTTAAGCGCAGAACGTAAAGCTGTTTCTGACTTGTAACTATTGTAGGTTACGCTTTATATTATTTTTATAATAAAACGAACTCGAAGTTTTTTTTGTAGAACTGGTATGAAGTTTATTAGGAAATATCTCGAGCTACAAGGTACTTCGGTTTATTGAGGCAGCAAGTTATTGCGTCGAGTTATAGATTACGACAATGGCCATGCAAGTGGTATGTATCCGCCCACCGGCTTCAGAAATCAATGTACGTTTTGCAATGATCAAGACCTTTTGTTTTATCTACTCTCGTTGACTAGGCTTCTTGGCGTGCGTCGAGAGAATCGGAATCATTTTGTAACTAATTAATCGTACGTTATGAAGCGGAAGGTCACTCACTCCTCGTAACTATCAGATTTATATATTATATACAATATGAACAGTAAAATAATGCTATAAGCATTTAAAAAAATACTACAATCAGCCCATATAACACAAGCTCCAAAATATCAACATAAAAAAACAACAACTAAATTTTAAGTCATTTATTAGTATGTCATAATGACAGCAATTAATTCATCACGACCATTGGACTAGTTTAAGGCGGGAGCGATCTGAAAGTGGTAAGGACACCGGTCGCGCTTCCGCCAGTCAAGGTGACGCGAGCGACATACAAATTGCTTGAGTAGCACTCGTATATGACAGAATTTATATATAAGTAATACAAAAAAAAGTACTAGAATATGGTCAGGGGAATTTACATAGATAGATACTTTTATTTCATTACCATCCATAGTATTAGTCACTTTATTTCATATGAGAACTCCTTAGAATAGTTATGTTTGTTAGAAAATCCAAAACCTATTCCTATAGTTAATTGCAGTTAGGCAGAAAGTTATAAAACTGTGAACTACATTAAAGTACCTACAGTTTCATAATTCGACATCGTAATTTGAACACTCGAACCTCTGACTCTTAGTAATGTTTTAAAAATGAAATGGCATTTATACAATAATGGATAGGTAATGTACCCATGAACCTTAGCATTACCTTGTTTAATGTACAATGAAATAAAGCAGGTTTGCATGCAAATTGTTCTGACGCATCGAATATACGAACTGATAATCTCAAAGCACTATGTTAATAATATTTGTGTGTTATATAAAAATAATGGATTTGTGTATAAAAGCTCTCGGGGTCAATTGAAAACAATTTTACATACTTACGACCTCTATATAATATTTTGACCTCAATGTATATCTGTACGTTAGTGTACACACAATAGCTTAGTTGATTTGATTGTCAGTGATGCATCAGGATCATTAATCAAAATTTAATGATTGAGTTCATTATCACTTGACGATTTGTTTGATTGAAATTGTTTCACAACTAAAATTAACGCTATAATTTTGTAAGTAAATAAAAAAATCGCTCACGTTCGTTTTTTCTGATTGAATTGGCATCCTATACACTTCTCAAGATCAGTATTTTTTTGTATTAACAAGGAAATGAGTCATAGAAGTCAGTGAGAAATTGACCGATAATAAGTTATGATGTGATAGAATTTCTATATTCCAATTTCAATTGGATATTCTAATCACCATTTTTAAAATTGAATATTTTTGTTTATTTCATTGACAATCGATTGTTTCAATGCAAAACAAAGCAATTAATTCGGTTTAGAAAGTAAAAATTTTAATATGAAAGATGTAAACTAGACAAAAAAGACGATGTTTAACTATAATATTTCATTTGAAATTTTGTTTCATTTCTGAGAATTGATGCGGTCGTCGTCAATCGAGTCGTTTAGTGTAATAACTACATAAAAATAAAATACTTTTACGATTTTACTTCGAGGTGACTCAGAGGGAGTTATCTGTATAACTGTGTATATCTGTATGACAACTGAAGTATTCGGAACCTCAAAACATTGAGTAAAAACAGATCAGTCGCATAATCAGTATCACCTGATATACCACCGTGATGCAGCGGCCGCTACAAAAGTAAACTTTTTGTAATGGAATCAAAGAGCGAGATCGTTGACGAACTAGTTCACATAGTTCGTCGATAAGACCTTTCTTACGACCTAGGTCACTCGAGAACTATCCGGTGGTGCTCCCGGCATTGCTGATGGCCATAAGCGATGTTTATCACTTACTATCAGAAGACTACTTATTTATTTGAATTTGTAAGAATTTGTGAAGTCTATCAGTTTTAATACTTAACATAGGTCAGTGGTTGCGGTCTACTTGAAAGCGTTCTTTTTAAAAAGCTTTTACTGGCTTTATTTATGTGTATTTGTTTGTATGTAATGGAATCTTTGAACGTCATTTTCACAGACTTGAAGACGTCATTAGGTATACGGTAAACTCGTCTTTCCATTCAAATTCACCAGTAAAATATCGCGTAATTCTTATAATATACGAACAACTAACAAACATGATACCGAAACTATACAAATTAAAATATTAATATGACTAATTAGAATGAAGTTAGAATTTCACGCAATTCATACGTATTATAGCAAAATTGCACATAACAAAGCAATGTTGGTAATGTAATTTTGAAACGTGGAATAAATCACATTACACTTACAAAAAATACATTCAGAGACCAGATAACATCGTTCCTTGATTATTTGATTATGTAAACAAATAATGAACTTACATACATGGTGACTAGGACTTGTTTTTGTTTTAACATTGTTTTGTTTTACTATAGGTACTTACTGTAGATTTTTATTTATTGCTAAGATGGGTGGAGGATCTCACGGCCCACCTGCTATTAAGTGGTCCCCGGAGCCCATAAACATCACGCTAATACCTCTGCCCATCTTTACACATGAGTTTTAAGTCTCAATTATTACAGTACAGTTTAAGATTACATTTTATGTACTATTATTCACCGAATCATACAGACCGAAACGCAAGAACGCTTCGAGCTAGTAAAAATTTTTCGTGGTACTCACAATAATATATTTTTACCTTTTATTGTATAAAAACTGTAAATAAACGGTGCGCGTTGATGTCTTTTGTTCAAGAAGTTTTAAAAAAAATTTATTGACTTTAGCGCTCTATATATCTACGTAATTTTCATTGATTTGCGCGCAATCATTTTATCGTCTTAACCTAATATCCCGTCCGGGGTAGCCCGGATAAAAACGATTACTACCAAACAATAATTTTAATTAGGCACACTTTAAAGGTATTTTTTTAAATTATATTTTTTGTTGTTCCTAAATTGGCGTTACATAATGTTAAATTGTCTAATTGCGATCGCATGTTGTTAAAATTAACAGAAGCTACATAACAGTCACGCATTATAAAACCGTGTACTGATGCACTCCTATTACATGAACATATAAAGCTAAATTCCGATGGTTAAATCACCAATAACCTGAAGTTGAATAAAACTAAAAAGCTATAGGTGATTTTTGTTAAAAGCAATTTTTCGGTAGGTAGTGGGTTGGCTCTGTTGCTGGCATTGCTGACGTCCATGGGCGACGGTAACCACTCACCATCAGGTGGGCCGTATGCTAGGCTGCATGCAAGGGCAATAAAAAAAACAGTGTCCAACTATTTATATTGATAATAATAATTAGCAGCCAGCAGTGTGAGAGGTTCAATGAAATCATGAAGAATTCGAGACCAAATAATATTGTTTGGTTAAATAATAATTTATACGTGATATCACCAGAAATTAACATATAAATAACTACTAATTATAAATTGAGGTTATATTGAATTTTAGACGAAAATAATTTCAGTGGATTTACTGTCGAGTTTTTTTAGGATTTTCAAATAGATAAATTTACGAGTTAAGAGATTACAAAAATACATAGGCACCATAAAATGAATGCCACTAACCATATTAGGATATAAGACTGAAGTATCGATTGCATTGGAGATATATCTTTCCTCGATTGCAATTCGGAAAGACTACTATGTAGTTAAGAGTAGCTGTAGATAACGGTTTGGCTATACCAACTATACTATACTATAGCTGTTGGCTTGTATGTCATCGACAGCAACAATAACAACGCTCATTTTATCTTCCCAATACAGATACCAGATTGTTTTGGAGTAGAATAGTACGCACCTTTCCGAACGTGGATCTGTTAACTTTTTTTTTTCATTCGGTTTTCACATTGAAGTAAAACGCATTAAACTAAGCAATGCTTGAGAGAAAGCTGTGTTAAGTGAAAAGTGATTTGTTTCTCGTAATTATAGTTGTCTCAACATACGTATTATGTTATTGTTCAAAAGATCTCTACATGTGATTTCTCGTTCGTCGTATTTCTGTACGGCTAGTCGATATATTTATAAATACTAGTGGTCCCGCAGTAGTCGAAATTCGACTATAATTAATTAAAATAATAAGTTTGAACATTATTATGGTTATATTGTCAAAGACTATTATACTTCTATAATCACAGATTTCACCAAGCCTACACTATAGACAAATAATATTAAAGATAAACAATATTAACCTATTTTCAATTTGACCACAGTTTTTGACAAACTAAAGTTTGACAATAAACAAAGAGTATATATACATATGTGTGTGTGTCAAATACATGGTAGTATTTGTAATGTTTTCTTTATTGACTTAATGTATTTTTAATGCATAATTTAAAAAAAATATTAGCATTGTGCACTCATTCTCTATGTTCTCTATAAGTGTGGGAAAATTCATACTCCTCCGTCCGCGCAATTTTCGTAAAAAGGGGTACAAAGTTTGCTTCGCGTATTAATATATAGATAAATATTAAGGCGATTGCATACAGCAGAGATGCGAATGTTGCGATGGATGTGTGGAGTAACGAGAATGTATAGAATACATGGAATGAATATGTTAAAGGAAGTCTGAAAGTGGCACCTGTGACAGAGAAGCTGAGAAGTGCGCGTTCGGGATGGTATGGACATGTGATGAGAGGAAATGAAAATGAGGTTGACTGTGAGAAGGGCAGGAGAATGATTATGATATGAAATACTATGTGTTTCCTTACTGGTAAATTATGGGACTGGTTTCTGTGTTTTATTAGGTGTGGTAGTCGAGGTCTGAGTGTGCATTTTTGTACGTGTCTAGTGTTACGTTTTTAATATCCTTTTATAAGATTCATAGCTATGTTAGTATGTAACGGAATCTTTTAATATGATTTTAACCCGCTTCAAAACTTCGGATTAACTCAAAATTTGGCTTACTTATTAAGAACCGATGACAATTCAATATTTTAAACAGTTAGATCCGTTAGCCTTACTTCGATAATCAGTATTAGCGATTTTTTGTTTTCCCGAAACCCGGACAGTTTTTTTACACTATTTTTAATTCAAATTTATTAAAATTATTTTCTATTTTATTAGTTGGATTTCTATAAAGGCGTGTTTCATAGTTATTTTAAACTATTGTTTATTTTATTAATTAATCATGTCTCGTGATTTTTTAATAGCGTTCTATCTTATAATGTTTAAATTTGTTGGGTTTCATTTGTTTGTTCGTGTTCTATGTTCAGGGGTCGTTAATCAGATCGACTTGAAATTGATCGACAGTTGTTGTTGTTGACACTTTAGGGAAAGTTTCTAGCATAGAAGCTTCAACAAATGTGAAAATATGAGGAACTAATTTCAATAAACAAACGTAATTCATATATACTTTATCAGTTACAAAGAGACGTGACTCGAATTAGTGATATAATATATAGATTTGAGTTCATGATTACAATACAGTGCGTGTACTCGGTTAAGAGAAAATGTCGTTTTTTCGTCTTCCGTATAAAAGGGAGGTAAGGTGTGAAATAGCTTGCACCTAATTCTAATCATCTTAACCTAATTCTAAAAATCCGTTTTAAACACAAAAGGTTTCGTGGAATTCCGCTAAAGCCTTTGTGAGCAACAGACGGACAAATAATATCAATTATTTAATACATTTCTGTTGCACTTTTAGAATAGAAGGCGGATAGATCATATATTGGTGAAGAACGTTTTTCACACTTTGTCAAGAATAACGTTACGGTAGTAGTTAGTAAATTAAAAAATTTTGAATTTTTAACAAAATTATCAGGCTATTTTTCAAAAACTATTTATTAAAATTTTCGCTTTCGCTTGTGAAAGAATGATTTCAAAAATAAGGTAACTACTTAATTTCTATATTAATTATTAGACATGCAATATTAACAAACCTGTAATAAACATATTCAATTTAAAAAAGTGTTCCATTTATTTATGAGAATGTGTATGTGATCTAAATAATATTTTTTTATACTCTGACTATTGACGGTGTTTGTGAATGAAGAGAAGATATAATACGACACAAAGGATTCCATAATGGATGAAGTAGTAGTCAGCTATCCCCCCAAATTTTGAAGCAATGAAGATAATGAGGGTATTGTGTTGGCCTTTAATATTTAAATAGAATAGTAAAAACTTATACAAGTTGCAATTTGACACGTGATTTCAAATTCCAAAGAATTGTATCAAGGTTTTCTAGAGGGCTCTTGCTCGTATTATTTTTGAAGCATAGAGATAATTATCGTATCATTCCTCATTTTAGGTGCGGCTGCCGCGGAGTTTTCGTAGCGAATGCTAATACAACATTACGATAGACAAGACAAGTTCTAATTTCTTTCGACAGTAACCGATCGGTATTAATAATCATAATCACGTAATAAAAAAACGCGTTACGGTACTCTCTTAATTTACGTAATTCATATTTTAGGTTTATATGCGCTGATAATATAATTTTTTTTAGCAACGACCATGTGTGCTTATTCGGGACTGGTACCATATTTTTCACAATTTAGTCCATAATATACATACGCTATGTTAGCCTATGCTTATTTTAAGAAAACATGGAAAATTAGGTCTGAGTAGGTTTAGATATGAAGTTCAGAGTGCAATAAATCTATATTTTTAAATAGTCAACGGAGGCAAATGGTCCTGGGGCCACCAGACCTAAAGTGATTACCGTCGCTCGTAGACAACGGCAATGTCAGATGCATATCCGACATTTTTATAAACTATGTATGATATTACGAGTTTGAGTGAAAATAAATAGGTAATTATTTAACATAAAGTACATATTTTAAGGTTGACAAGAGATTTGTGGGCGCTCTGAAGTGACCTACCAGCTCGATAGCTTTCAAGGTTGGTATGCGAAACCGACACTTTGAATGTCCGTCGTGTCAAGTCGACCTGAATTCGATATCGATATTGCTTTACTTGTATGTACCTATTATTATTCATTGAAACGCGACCGTCCACTTCAATGTTGTGACTGAGTACAGTGATTTGTATATTTGCGTTACAATTTAACTTTCACGATACTATGTCGTTACGAAATCACTGAGTTTTAATTTGGTACCACAACCTTTTTTTTCAATGCATATTACATACATTGCATAAGTAAGATTTTTTTTTCTAAACTCGCATTTTTGTTTGCATTACACATTTACGTACATGAGAAGAGAAAATCTTTTCTTTCTTTTCTAAATTTGTCAAAAATAATTAGTAAATAACTATGAACCAAACTCACGAGTATTTGTGATTAAATCGAACAAATGAAGAAATAACGAAAGCTTTTTAAATAATTGCGTTGATATTGTTTGTCTAAATGAATATGATGCCCTTGCTAAGGGCGGGACGCTGCTACTCACCAGTAACGTACGCATGATGCTCCGCTGTCGCACGTCACTACCACCGGGCGAACAACCAACAAATAAAGGAAATGCCTCCCGCGCACGCTTTATGAGGTCGCCCACTCTCGCCCTGCACCAGACGCGACCACCATACCTTATTGCAAGGTGACCAACTACGAACGTATGCTTCACACCACCGACGCCTATTCACAAGTACCACTCTACAAATCGGCCGCGCTAGCCACCGGAGTACCGCTAAATGAGCCATTTAATTAAAAATTCGGTTCATTTTTCGTATTCCCATCATTGATTAGAACGCTCATGTCTTTGAGGACATTCGAGAATATTAATACCCTGAATACGTTTACGTTATGATTTTCGAATATGTAAGTGTCTTTTAAAGAGACAATCGGCATTGTCATANTACCACTCTACAAATCGGCCGCGCTAGCCACCGGAGTACCGCTAAATGAGCCATTTAATTAAAAATTCGGTTCATTTTTCGTATTCCCATCATTGATTAGAACGCTCATGTCTTTGAGGACATTCGAGAATATTAATACCCTGAATACGTTTACGTTATGATTTTCGAATATGTAAGTGTCTTTTAAAGAGACAATCGGCATTGTCATAGCGATTTTAATTTAATTTCGAATGAGTATTTCGTATTTTAAGATCAATCATTAGATACATTCAAAACAAAAAGTTTGTATCAGTGAAAGAAGATCGCTCAATACGCAATAAGTGAACTTAACGTACAATGTCTATAAATTTCGGTGAAAATTGCGGTGAATAATTTCAGATTCTTACTGGTAGTAGGACCTCTTACGAGTCCGCATGGGTAGGTACCACAAAAACTCATATTTCTAATAAATTAATTAATTATATGACGCATTTCGTGTAACAAAACTATATTATGGGTTGGATTAAACACAAACAACTTTTAACAAAGGCTATATCGCATATCTGACAGTAGAAGTTATCATAAGCACGTGCTCTAGATAGCTCCTTGGCGTTACACGTGTAAATTACAAAGCAGCTTACATAAAACACTGAATACTTACCATGTTAATATTGTTCGGTATGTGACAGATTGGCAGGATAATGCATTTAGGGTGTTACATCACTGATGTTATACTGAGCGAGCGTAGTAGTCAGGTCACGGAGTTCAGGAAAGTGTATCACCAGCATCGCAAGTGAGAGTTAGTACCCTGCAGTACGTAATATGGAGCCTATGTAAGCCGTATGCCGACTGAGTTTCTCGCCGGATCTTCTCAGTGGGTTGCGATTCCGATTCGGTAGTAGACTCTCGAAACACTGCTATTGCTAGGGCTAGTGTTGGCAAATTCTCTCAGGAGCCCGTGAGCTCACCTACTCGTCTGGGCATAGCTGAAATAGCCCCTCAGGCAACCAGTGAAAAGGTAGGGAAAAGTAAGCCTATTCTATTTTAAAGTGTTTTTTTTTTTTTATCGCTTAGATGGGTGGACGAGCTCACAGCCCATCTGGTATTAAGTGGTTACTGGAACCCATAGACATCAACAACATAAACGCGCCACCCACCTTGAGATATAAGTTCTAAGGTCTTAGTATAGTTACAACGGCTGCCCCACCCTTCAAACCGAAACGCATTACTGTTTCACGGCAGAAATAGGCGGGGTGGCGGTACCTACCCGCGCGGACTCACAAGAGGTCCTACCAGCTGTGAGCTCGTCCATCCATCTAAGCAATAAAAAAATAAAAAAGTTTGAGAGGAAAACATCGCTTTGAGGCATCATGTCGAAGTAGCGAACAACTAGTCTTCAAATTCGCATTACTCCATGACTGATATTGGTCGGATAATGTATCGCACTATAATATGCTTTATTCTTCTTATTTCTGCAACATGTTTATGATTTATAACTTTGTATTGATTTAGAGCGCCTTAAATTTTTGATGGTGCTAAAGGATCATGAAAACCCTGTAATTATGAGAGATTTGACGATGATTATAATTTTTTAGATCTTTTTAACCTAAAACTATAAAGGGTGTTGTAATTTTTAAACTGCAACATTAAAATACTCGGTGTCGTGTGTAATGTTAAAGTGAATTCAATGCGTATCTGGTGTAGAATAATAAAATAGTTTTACTTTTGTACCAACGGAAGTGTCTATATTATAGTCTACTTTAGTTTTACTGAAATGAATAGGTAGCAGTGACCTGATGGCTATGGCTATTCTATAGAATCCCAAATCAGAAGATGATGTCCGTAGCTAGTTTCAGACACGAAGTAACAAAACAGATGTAGGTACAACAGATAACAAGCTATTCCTTCATCGTGCAATTTTAAATGTATCTAGAAGAGTTGAGATCTACCGTAGTATTGGACTAACGTTCTATGACTTCGATTACTCTAGAGGCCTCTACCTATTAAGCTAATAAATCTAAGCTGAATATAACCTATATAATTTTTGAAGTGGATAACACTCAAACTGCCCCTTTGTTTTATAGTTTAGTTTTATACGTCAAGATAAACACAGGATCTTTTAATATTAAGGTAGTGACTAATATCTTCAAGCAGTTTAAGTCATGTTCCAAAAATATTATAAAAAATCGGTACAAACACTATACTATTCTTAAAATTAAAGTGATTAAAATGAAATTGCAGTAAGAGATTGGAAAATATTACATACATTTGAATCGAGTAAGCAATTTCAACCCGTACGCATTTTGTCAATTGGTCACGACTACAGTCAACATCTGTATTTTTTTATTTATCATAGAATTACAAACCAAAGAAAAAATAATATCTTTCATCACAATGGACGTAATATCATTCGCGCTAAATGTAACCATTTCGAAGGAGTTAGTTGTCGTCCTTAGTCACTTCTTCGATTTTATCAAATGTCGTTGGAGGTGCGTTGGGTCCCTTAACTACTGCCATGGTAGGACGGCACGGATAGACGGCAATGCTCCGTTATCCGTCCTCTATCGCCTTTTTCAATGGTTTGTTTCTGATTCGACACGTACTCTATATGCCGCTACAATAGGACTTGTTACCGGGTCATATTCATATCGGTTAAATATTATGTATCCATGTCAGGAGTGCCAGAGTTCAACGAACGGCAGCTTGACACTATGTCGTTCGATTTACGTCTTACAACGATTGTTCGATTGCAGAATTATAAGCATATTTTTTTACGAAACGAACGATATTTGTTTTGCAAGATGTTAGATGACTGACGAACCGCTTGCGCTGACGCCGATAACGGTTAATTGGTATCTGTGTTTCAGTTCAAAAATGACCTTTAAATTGATATTTGACACTCGCTCAAAGGTGACCAACGGCCATTATTGTGTCCAAACAATTCCTTATTGCGGAGAAACTAAACAAATCATATAGTAAAGAAATAAAATAAAAACATTGTTTTATTGAGCAGTTATTAGCTCTGCTTGCTTTTGTTTAGCGTTTTAGCTTTAAAAGATCTCAGTAGAAACTAGTGGAACGTTAAGTAAGGCGTAGAAAATTAGGCATTGAAATTTGAGGTTGTAAGGCGCAGAGGTGATGAGTAGGCTGATCACGTCCGAAGTGACGCCGAATCGTCACCGTTACCGACATTTTGTAACCATAGCCTGGGAATGCATTGCCCGAGACGACAATGTCAACGTTCTTTAATTTAGTAGCCATTACAATGTGGTTTAATTGGAACGATATATGCGTATTTACAATTTTGCCGCACCTAGGCCCTATGGCGGGTATCGGTTTTGTAAATAATTTGGTCTATCATATATTTTCACGAATAAAAGGCACAATTAAGAGAAACCACCGTGCCGATGCGTAATTCCTACGTAGATCGTGTTCTATCCACGCAGGTAAGTAGGTACCTCTCTGCTTATTTCTGCCGCGAAACACATGTCCGTTCTGCGCTTTGAAGGGAACCTAAATTTATTATTAGTATTATTCCAACTCAATTTAATCGTAAGCATCTAGTAATGTTTACGATTTGAAACCAGATCTGCCTTGAGCTCTTCTTTTGTCATCTTATTGGAGTTTCGACTTCTGTGGGTACTGTGACGTTTAAGTGGGAAAAAATACAGGCTAAAATTGATCGTGCCGATATCTCCGATGGCCGAGACCTGATTGCGAAATTTATAGCTAAATTAAAAATAAAAATTCAATTTTAAAAAAAATTTTTATTGCCCTTGTAGGCAGATGAGCCTACGGCACAGCTGATGGTGGGTGGTTATCGTCGCCCATAGACTTCAGCAATGCCAGGGGCAGAGCCAAGTCGCTGTCTATCGTTAAGTACTCTCCACAAGCTTCGTTTGAAGAAAGATATGTCATAGCGCTCGGCAAACACCGTGGAGGGGAGCTCATTTCAAAGTCGGATGGTACGTGGCAAAAAAGATCTCTGGAAACGCACTGTGGATGAACGTAGTGGCTCCAGGTAGTATGGATGAACTCTACTCCGGTGGTTGGCGGTGCGATGGTAAAAATGAAATGAAGGTATCATCTCAAACAATTCCTCAGAGCACTCCCCATGGAACATACGGTACAAAATACAGAGGGAACCGAAGTCCCTCCGCAGACCCAGAAGTTCCAAGCGAACCGTGAGAAAGGGATTATCGACAATCCGAACGGCCCTCTTCTGTATGGAGTCAAATGGAAGAAGCTGCTATTTAGGAGCCCCAGCCCAGAGATGGGAGCAGTACTCCACGCGAGGCCGGACTTGTGCTTTACAAAGCAAAAGTCTTAGCCCAGACGTGAAGTACCGCTTCGCTCTGTTGAGGACTTCGAGCATTTTGGATGCCAACATGGCTTTGCCTTTCAAATGACTCCGAAATTGGACATCGCTCGAAACGTCGACCCCAAGTATCCCGATACTCTCGGAAGGTTGCAGGGATACTCCTTGGAATTGCGGCGCCATGACAAAGGGGTCCTTCTTTGCAGTGAACGCGCAAACTTGTGTCTTCAACGGGTTGAATTGAACCAAGTTCAATTCGCCCCATTCGGAGACACGCCCCAGAGATTTCACCACTTCAGACACAAGTTTTGATTGTCTCTCTTGCACCACGCTCCGAGAGACACTCTGATGGCCGATATATCGCGCATCCCCCGTGCTGTCATACGCATAGCAATGACAGCATGTCATTGATATACAGGATGAAAATTTATAGTTATCTAACTCAAAGACGCCGCTAATGAGAAAGTGAGAAACATTTAGGTATTTATAAAGAAAATATCATGTTCTGTACATAAACGAAGAGGGTATAAAATGGAAATAACACTGTTTTAAATAGAAGAAGAATAAAATGAAACGAACATAATTAACAAATGTGTACTTTAATTTTTGAACATGATTGTACAATGAATGGTGGTCACTGTCCTTGACTAATGGGCACCAATTTTTTTCCAGTTCCTTTAACATTTCGAGGCCGTTAGAAAATAAGTACATAAGCCTGTTATTAATGAAATGTGTAAATATTACGAATGTAAGCAAAAATGGTAACTACATAATCATAACTTAATTGTACTACATAAGGCAGATATACTTAGTCGGTAACAATAAATTAACCAAAATAAAACTAACTTAATACTTAACACTCATATAATACACACAATTTTTCTATATTAGTATTACATAAAGTTTTGCTCTTTGAAGACCCGTCAATTTTAAAAAAAAATGCATTCTTAAGATAAATTTCGTAATACTTAAAATTTTATACTCATAATGTTAATGATGTTGTCAAACATTTAAAAAATCAAACAGAAAACTTCTAATGGATAACGTATGTGCTTAATTGTAAGCTTAAGTTTTGAGGTTAGTTTTAAATTTTCAACAGATTACTAGTAAATTATATTTAGATTTTTTGAAGTATAATTACTTTTTGTCCGCTAAAACCATACAAAAAAAACGAGTATTAGTTCTTTGTTTTTATAAAAACCTTTTGCCTAATGAAAAGTGGTAGCTGTATAATATAAATTATCATAAATATCACGATATCAGACGATATGATAGTATATCTTTGTTAGAATTGATATAATATAAATGTATTATTTCATTAAGTAAGAACTTATAGCTAGCGTTACTTATACACGGTACGTACTGAACTTACAAAGTTTATTTACATTTATAATTTAAAAATAACACAATTTATAATATAAGAATTAAAATTAAATTCGAAAAAATCTCAGTTGTTAACTAAAATTACAAGATCAAATTAAAATATATTAAAGTTTAATGTCATTTAACAGAGAATAGTAATGCAGTGTTTTTTAAAATGCTTTTAGTAGGTAGCTTGGTATGTATTTGTGTAACGGAATCTATGAAATTGAATTCAACCGCCTTCAAATATCGAATTGAATTGAAACTTGATACACTCATCAAGGACCGATGGCAATACAATAATTTAACAACATTATCCGATTATCCTGATGAGGATCTTTACGACATTGAAGAATTGAAGTGTCTGGCATAACCTACGGTCACCGAAAATGCTAAGGTGTTGCTTATCATAAAATATTCGCATAACCCTTTCCTGAAGTAGGACATGATGGCGTAAAGAAAGAATTTAGTTCTTGAACTTATAACCCATCCCGTTCTACGTGCTCAAATCATGATTGAACTTTGTCAAACTTATAATAATTAACAAAGTGAATTTGTCTTTCAACCATCAAACAGATTGTCACAAAATTTTGAAACATTTATACTATAAAGTATGTGTTCACAAAAGAAATCGAATTCAAACCAATCCAAGAATCATTCTTGCTTTAATTAACTAATGCCCTCTCTCGTCGGCGACCGTAAACGTTCCGTTGCAAGGAGAGTTGCTGTCATATTGCGGTCTGCGAACAAAACGATTGATGTACAAATTATTATCTGACACAATTTCCTAAAGTCAAATACAGATGGCGGTAAAAACTGTTTGTGAATTGCCGAAGAATGCATTATTACCGAGAACTACGGTGTAAATTAATATAATTTATGTTCCACGACTTATTATTTGAAGGTTTTTACTGGATAACAAATATGTCATAACTATTTTAAAATCTGTTATTTATTGTGGATAAATACGATTCGATTAAGAAATAAATAAACATATTAACGGCCTTAAATATGGCTATAGACAAAATCTAAAGGTGGGCGATAGTGGGATTCACGTTGTGATATTTGTGGGCCCCGGTGACTATTTAACACCAGGTGAACCGTGCGTTTGACAGTACATTTAATCAGTAAAAATAAATGTCTTATTATATTATGGTTGTTAGACTGTAAAGTCATAAAACAAATTATTTCCCTATTTTCGGTCGTAAACGAGTGAATTATATGAATTTGCGGAAATTTTATCATGCTTCTTGTTTGGATTTAGATGTCTCGCCTTGTAATCTTTCAAGGAGAAAAATTTGATTATATTTCTGTTAAACGTACACAGCATATCATCGATAAAAAATACTTACCTACAAATTAAGTATATAAATTAAATGAGATTAGTACTTACAATTTTCCAACAACAGTCGTTGGTGGCTCTTGTAACTGTCCCGTTTCCGGAAGGATTAGCACAATGCCACCGCCGATTGCCCCTAAAGCTGATATTGTGACCATCGGTAAATGTTCATTCAGTGCTGCCTGTAAACACATACATACATACATTATATATTTTGTACAATATAAAAATATACGCATGAATTTTTTTATGAAATATAGCAATCTATCTATTATGAGGTTGTTTTAAAGTCATCGTGGTCTAAAGAACAAGACACCCGGTGCATTCGTATTGAGCCATGCGACTACGCCGATGTTCGAATTCCGTAGGCAGGTACCAATTTTTCTAATGAAATACGTATTTAACAAATGTTCACGAACTACTTCCACCATGAAGGAATAACATCGTGTAATATAAATCAAACCCGCAAAAAATATAATTACTGGTGGTAGGGCGTATTGTGAGTTTTGTTGCGCACGTTTCGGTTTGAAGGGCAGCCGTTGTATTTACTATACTAAAATTGTGACTTAGAACTCATGTCTCAAGTTGGGTGACGGCATTTACATTTTTGACGTCATTGGGCACTAGTAGCCACTTAACACCAGGTGGACCAGGTGGATCGATACAAGAGCTCCCTTGTATCGATATAAGCATAAAAAGAAGCATGAGCTCACGCGGATACTACTTTATTAGTGGCAGGATATATAACAAGTCCGCATAGGTGGTGATTTTGTCTTCTTGCGCCGTAAGACTTACTGGTTGTTTGTGTACTAGTATGAAGGGTGGGGCAGCTCTTATCGAATACAATTAAGACATCGACCTCTTGTCTCAAGGTGAGTGACGTTTTTTGTGTCATGATATCTATGAGCTTCGGTAACACACACCCGATTCGTCGTGAGCTTCATCAAACATTTTTCGGTTTTGAGGATCATTATTACAACACAATTAAAATTTCGACTATATCAAGGAGGGCTGGGGCATTCTCGTTGATGTGCCTATAAATTCTGACAATTATCATTTCATCTTAAGTTGCGAGCCCGGTTATCCGTTAACTAATAATAAACAAAATGAAACTTACCAACTTCCACAGATACGGAATGAAAATCAATGCCAAACCAGCTGACATTTGGCTCGCTCCAACGCCCAAATTTCTCACTACGGTTGGATATAGTTCCACAGTGTATATCGGTAACATCATGTTCGTTGATCCAATAGCAAATTTTCCAACCATCAAACACAGTATCATCACCCATTCTTGTTCAAACGCTATCGAGAATAATTCGCTGGCCACACAGGCCAGACCGCATATTATCATACTGCTGACAATTGGGATTCGTCTCCCTCCCTTTAAAAGAATGGGTACACTCACGGCAATGGCAGGGATCTCGACTATTGCCAGGATTATTGATGTCATGTGGAGATTTCCTATGTTGAAATTCCCAATGTTCAATAATAGTCCATAGTACACAATGGTCATACAAAACCAAGCTACGAATAAACAAATCGTCCGTTTGCGTAAAGGTCCCTTAAAGAGCATAGTAACGCTGGGACCTTCTTCTCGTGTCTCCGATTTTTGTAATAACAACAGCTTGTCGATATCCGCGGGTAGCTCTCGTTTGTTGAACATAGCTGCTTTTTGCAACATCAGTTTCGCTTCTTGAGTTTTTCCCATGCTCAGTAGCCATCTTGGTGACTCCGGCAAAACAAACCTGTCACGAAATGAGGACATTAAAGTAAATTTTGTTTATTTGGCAGGACGTGTATAAAAATGAAAAAAGAATAGTTTTTTATTGCTTAGATTGGTGGACGAGCTCACAGCCCACCTGGGCTTAAGTGGTTACTGGAGCCCATAGACATCTACAACGTAAATGACGCCACCCACCTTGAGACATGAGCTCTAAGGTCTCAGTATAGTTAAACGGCTGCCCCGCCCTTCAAACTGAAACGCATTATTAGGTACTTCACGGCAGAAAGAGGCGGGGTGGTGGTACCTACCTTTTTTTTTCCTACCTAAGCTGATAGCCTTGAGAGGCTATTTCAGCGTAACCTTAACTAGTAGGTAAGCTCACGGGGCTCAAACTTGATGACGTTGCTAGCACGAACCCTAGCAAGAGCCGTGCTTCGCAGAATCTACCACGCGACCCACTGAGAAGATCCGGCGAGAAACTCAGTGGGCTGTGTCTGTGGATTAATTTACTCGTCGAGCCCTTCGTCGCAAGCGACGGGTTCGACAAGAACGATGACCGGTGCTGGAGGTACCTAAAAGCACCGTTAGTGAATCGGGAGGATCCAAAATGACGTGTTTTGGGCGACGTCGACTGCTTTCCATTCTGTCCGCAGGATCCGCAATGTAGTTACCGGCGGCCACGATGAGAGAGTTCTCGTGTCGTGCCGCTTTGTCGACGTAGGGTACCTACCCGTGCGGACTCACAGCACCATTTTTTTGAGAAAATCATGAAATAGGTAACTATTCCTAATGTTATGTTTTTATATAACACGAAAATGCTTTATTTTAATGACAAAATCCATTTTAGTTTTGAAGTACTCGTTTGTGGTTTAGTAAAAAGGTTTGTTATGTAAATTCAAATTACTTTGAAGGTTTTTTTTTTGGTAGCGTTCCGGGCTACATTTTTGTTTTAGTATTTTAGTATAGCATTCAATTATTCTAAACATTAAACTGTTTGTGGTTTAAAAGCTGTACTATTATGCAACTAATAAATTTTATCAAGTTTGTAATGATATATAATTATAATAGAATAGTTTTTAATAGGAAAAACTTACCATAGCGCAATCAATAGGCACCCGGGTATCGACAATGCCAGTTGTAGATCTCTCCAATTTGGTAGGACTAAAGACAACAGTGAGACAATGAGGTACGCCAGCGGTAAAGGAAAGAAGTTGCATACACCGGCGATGGTGACCCATTTACCACCGACGAGTTCTACAGAAAGAACAAAAGCTGCATACACCACTGACACGGAGACGAATCCCATAATCAATCTTACGACCACGTATTGGACATATGACCTGACCAGTAGTGACAGAATGGCCAAAACGCTTTGCGCTGTTATCATGCCCATCAAAATACGTTTACGTCCGAATCTGGAAAGATTATTCAATTTGTTTATTATTGATGTGGATATTCTTATTAACATCCTTTCATTAGCTTGTTATGTACTTGTTTTACTGGTGGTAGGACCTCTTATGAGTCCGCGCGGGTGGGTACCACCACCCTGCCTATTTCTGCCGTGAAGCAGTAATGCGTTTCGGTTTGAAGGGCAGGGCAGCCGTTATAACTATACTTGAGACCTTAGAACTTATATCTCAAGATGTGTGGCGCATTTACGTTGTGGATGTCTATGGGCTCCAGTAACCACTTAACACCAGGTGGGTGTGAGCTCGTCCACACATCTAAGCAAAAAAAAAAGCTTATGTGACGGAATCTTTGGATGACATTTCCACGGACTTCTAGAGGCCTGATGAATTAAAAAATGTGCACACGCATCAGGGACCGATGACAATACAACAATTTTATAACTTCGCTCTAATATTCCGACTATTATCATCAGGATAAAAAAAAAATGTTAGTTCGATTTGCTATTTAAGCGTATTTTTTAAAAAGTTTTAACATTACATATTATTTTCTCATTGCTTTCGTTTAGTTTGTTTATTGCATAAAAGTTAAGAAACGACTGCTTTATCAATTATGAGATACAAGTAGCTTTAATTATTATTTAACTGAATATAAAAGTGAAAAAGCAGTGTTGTTAAAATTGATACAACTGAAACATTTTTTAAATTATTTTCAACTGTGATGAAATCTTATAAAATATCTCTATATATAAAAATGAATTGCTGTTCGTTAGTCTCGCTAAAACTCGAAAACGGCTGAACCGATTTGGCAAATTTTGGTCTTGAATTATTTGTGAAAGTCCAGAGAAGGTTTAAAAGGTAGATAATTAATAAAATGCTCGGAATTAAATATTTTAGTTTATTTTATACAAAAGTTTCGGTATTTTATTTATCGATTGAGGCACTACGAAGTCTACCGGGTCAGCTAGTATTTAATAAAAATGAACTTGAAAATTTAAGTTTAGACTTATGGAAAGTTTGTAAACTAAAATTTAGGTAAAGTAAATAATTATGGATTTGTTATATAAAAAATATAATCCACATTACAGCTAACATTTACATACATCTGCATTGTGTGCATCTCGTAATAATATATTTCTGGGTAACTGTACTTAGTAATAGCGCCAATTTTGAAATAGTTTTTCAGTGTCTCCAGTAATACTGGCTGACCTATCTAAGAAGCCGGAACATATGCTTAATTACCTTGCGGTACAAATAGACCAAGTTTGGTACCAACGCTCATTTTAAAAAAACACGGGCAAAATAAATCTTATTCGTGTAATAAAGTCTAATGCCAAGATCTCATTAGTAAGTTCGCCCGAAAATCAGATGTTTTTTGGATAATTATTTGTGTGGAAATTGAGGAAACAACCGCAAGTCGTGTGTATTCCATCCACGATTCGCTGAATTAAGGACAAACAAAATGCTCAATGCGGATATGAGTGACGGAAAAAAATAACTTCAATAACCAACTGACTGTAAGGCTTGGTTTTTTACGAACGATTAAATGAATCCCAGCCCATTGGATTAGTAATCTTTATTGCACATTTAAAATAACGTAAACGCATTCACCTGTCTGAAATCCATCCTCCGATAACTCCACCTACGCCAATTCCTATCAAAAAGACGACTTCAGCCAAACTCGTAAGACTTGCGTTATCACACACCAAGTTCCATTCGGTTATTATTGTGTTCCCTACTTCTGATCTATCGTACTCCCATTCAGTACATTTTTCGAATAAATTTGCCAAAATTGGAGCAGTGTGATTGAGTATCGCTTCAGCTGTTATTCCTGGAGGCAGTTTTCGTACACTGCAAGCGTTGATCGGCTGGCTGTAGTTGATCCATTCGGTTATTGACAAATTTGACAAATTGTCGGGCCTACTGCACCAGAATTTAGTTGCTTTTGCCTGGAAAATAAAGATAAACCATAGGGCTAGTACGGCGTTTCAGTAAAAACGGAGACAGTAAGAGTTGCTTGTTCAAGTAAAACTTCTTTAACAGTAAGGGTGTACGAGCTTACGGCGAGCTTAAATTGTTACACATCACATTGTGAATGATGTTTTTTTTAAACCTACCTATTCGCTGGTAGACTAAGGGGCTATTCCAGCTATGCTTGGATGGGTTGGTGAGCTCATAAGCTCATCCTGAGAGAATTTGCTAACACTAGCTCTCTCTAGCTAGAGCAGTGCTTCGCGGAATGTATAATACCAGAGGTTGTTGAAGGGAATTAGAATTTATTAATATTTATTAGAGTTTATAATTTATTTATTAGAATAATAAATAATGATAGATAAATTTATAAAAATTTAATTATATATTATTTAGAAGGAAATTTCTGAGACACACCATAAACTAACAATATGTGTTACTCGACCCAGTAAAATCAATAAATGTCCGTTTTTTATATAGTATAACAAATTTACTGATAGTACATTGAATCGTAGCACAGTTCCTTACGAGACGTTCCTTACGGTACGAGACTACCCTTAAGAATCGTTTCTGTTGATAACAGTAGTTATGAGTAGTCATTTATAACACACATAGATAGGTTGGCCATTGAGTAGATTTGTCGTACTATAATTAATACTTAAAAAAAAATTTCTACTTACAGTAAAAGTAGGCAGGTAAATATGAAACGTGCATGGTAATGAGAACAGGGAGAGTAGGAACGTCATGAGAAGCTGCCATCGTCCATATTTTCCAATGATTGTCGACACTACATCTGGGCCTTCATCCTCCACAAGGTCTATCGGTCTGGTTTTTTCCTTGTTTGAGCCTTGGCTTGGGATTACTGAAACGAAAATTTAAAATTTATTTTAGTGGTCGCCGCAAATTGTTTTAATATTTCTTTGTTAATTAGAATCTACTGAATGATTTATATACTATGTCTGTTGTGGAGGGAATAATGCAGCGCACTGTATATTTTTCAACAATTACAATATGAATTGTGCTTCTTATATAATATTTGGGTGCCAGAAAAACATAGAAACCGTTGCCGTCAATGTCGGTTTTATGTCAATAGTTCACTGAGCTTCGAAACGCTGTATAGTTATTAATACATTAATTAATCTTTTGAATAAACTGAAGTATCGTAGCAGATCAGAGCAAGATGTTTAGATTTACTCGTATTACAAATTAAGTAAAGCACTAAAATTAGTTTTCTATTATCGACATTGTAAAAAGATTCCAAAAGTCATTACAATTGTCAACAACCAAATCACAAAACTGTGAGCTGTCTTGGCAGAAAACATCTGCTTGAAATATGAAAACTGAATTACATATTTGGAGAACTTAACCAAATATGTAAATGATGTAATATAAATAATACGTAAATGATGAATGGTAAAAATGTCTTTTGTCATTCTTATTTGTTTCTGCCGTGTTCATGCGTATGATAATTAGTATATTTGTTTCGGTAGCAGACTAAATGGAAGTCAATTTTATTAAAGAGTACTTCATAAAATTTGTGTTTTACGTCAATGCTCCACGTGTCCGTCGTTATTCACTTAACGTTCTTTTTGTGAATGGAACAAAAAAAACGTTTAAAAAAAGACTCAGAGACTCGGTTGCGGTCACTGACGAATGATAAAAGAAATGAAATATTCAAAATGTTTTTTTTGTTTTGTTATTATTTATTCAGTAAAATACGCGCAGAATCGTATAGCCTCTCGAAAGAGGCATAAAGTCTTTTAACTTTTCCGAATACGGTTGAAAAACCTGAACAATTTCCGGCAGTAGAATTTATGAAAATCAGTAACAATTGAATGATATACAAATGTAGTTGAATTGTGATTTTGCTGAAACTATCCGAGTATCAACTGTTGTGCTTTAAAGGTAATATGATAAAAACAACGAAGTTACAACTTCATCGGATAAACGACGTGGCTATTTATGATATATTTTTATATTTCCTAGTTTTTTTTTATAGCTTAGATGGGTGGACGAGCTCACAGCAAACCTGGTATTAAGTGGTTACTGGAGCCCATGACATCTATAACGTAAACGCGCCACCCACCTTGAGATATAAGTTCTAAGGTCTCAGTACAACGGCTGCCCCACCCTTCAAACCGAAAAAATTAAACGTTTGTCTGGAAGAGATCGCTTTTAGCGATAAGACCACCTATTGTACAAATATATCTGCTTTTTTTTGACTGTTTTTTGAATGTAAGTTGTGTTTTGGTGTGCAATAAAGTGTACTCTCTCTCTCTCTCTCTCTCTCTCTCTCTGTATTTAAACATTAACAAATAGAGGGACAATCATAAATGTTCTTACTGAATTAGATTGGTATTCAAATTACTGTTCACGTGGTCATAAGTGTATTTTTTTATTGCTTAGATTGGAGGGGCGAGTTTACAGCCCACCTGGTGTTAAGTAGTCACCGGAGCCCATAGACACCTACGACGTAAATGACCCCACCCACCAGTCTCAGTATTAACAGTACAACGGCTGCCCTACCCTTCAAACTATATATCGGAACCCATAGATATCAGAGTGTGAATGTTGTCACCCGTCTAGTCAAAGTCTTAATTAAGCTGTTCACCGGCTGTCACATCCATTAAGCCTTACGACTGCTTAGCCGCAGTCTTAGATAGAATAGTGAAACCTACCCGTGAAGGTCACACCATCACAGTTAAACTTATTTATTGTAAACGAATTGTCGAAATTGAGACATAAAAGCCCCGCTCCAGAAGCCTTTTTTTTTTATTTCAAACTGAATATATGTACATATTAGCTTACGCAAATAATCAAGTTTTTAATTTACTTCGGTATTAGTGACATTTTGAATAATTTCCTTAAGGAAGCGTCATTAGGAAATCGCAAGGCAAGCATGCGTCTAAAGACTGGAATAATAATATATGGTATAGTTGTCATGACCTAGAAAACACTAGTACTGCTAGTCACATTTGTGTAAACTTAATCGCATCGGATCTTTTTAATCAATTTTTTTATATGTATCTAAAGCAGTATTATGATATATTATATAGGTATTATAGAACAGAGACTTAGAACTCATGTTACGAGGTGGATGATGGCGTTTACATTGTTGGTATCTATGGGCTCCGGTAACCATTTAAAATCAGGTGGGTCGTGAGACTTTAAAACTTCGAAGGATCTATGCAATATGCAGTAGTGTATAGCTGGCTTTTTTTCTTTTTTTTTCCTGCCTAACGTGATACCCTTGAGAGGCTAGGTTAGCGTAAGCCTAACGTGTAGTTAGATAGATAGAGCTCTCGGGGCTCAAACTAGGAAGCGTTGCTAACACTGGCCCTAGCAAGAGCAGTGCTTCGCAGAATCTGCCACCGGATCGGGAACGCGAACCACTGAGAAGATCAGGCGAAAAACTCAGTGGACTGTGTCTATGGGTTAGCTTACTCGCCGAAACCTTCGTCGCAAGCGACGTGTCTGACAAGAATATAGCTGACATTTGAGAGCTTAAGTCCTTAGACGGCGTAGAGTGTGGAAGATTAGGTACACCGAGTGAGGCGGAAGCGCTAAGGGGATTTTTTTATAGCACGAGAAGTGGTAATTTTGTACAACACGTGATCAGGTATTTGTATATTTCTTTTGAGGATTTTGAAAATTTGAAATGAAGCAATGACTATTCTAACATCGCGACAATTAAATTTAAATGACTGTACATCCTGATCCTATCATAACAATTAATTACATACAATACTTTAAATACAGCCACCGTCACTACGTACCTAGTATTTAAATCGAAATCAAAATCTTTTTCGTAGACAAAAAATGTTTTAATATCGGTGTGTTCGGAATTGCAACAAATAGTAGCCTTTCGCGTGTGTTTAATTTCTGAATCAAGGTTCAATTACAGTTGGTATTTCACGTGAAGTACGTCTCCACGTGCGGCCGGGCGCGCTCGACAATTAGCAACGACATGCATTTGCGGCACTTCGCCAATGAATCCGTCAATAAATTTATGAGACCTTCAAATTTCTCTCTGTGATTTTCTTTTAACTTTGTTTTCTTTTTGATTAATATCTACATTTGTTAGACCCGGCGTTTCTAATGCTTTAGAGTTTGGTGATCATGTGCGACTAAGATGCTGTTTCCTTTTTTGTCCTCATTCATACATTGCATTAATTACGCTCTGTAGCTTAAACATCTCGTTTACATTTGAATTCGGCAAATTCGTAGAAAGTATAATGTCTACATTATGGATGCAATAGAAGTAAGCTAAGAAGCTACGTGACGTCAAGACAAAGACGGCCGGTGTTCAAACCCCGCAGGCAGGTACCATTTTTCCAATTTTTTTTTATTAGTTGTCATTTTTGTTATTTGCTATAGTAGCTGACTAACAAGAAGGAAGAAATCAATGAAGAGATCAGTCTCCATCACAGCTTCGCTAATTAAGGGAGATTAAGGGAAAGAAAAAAACTATATAAGTCAGTATGGGCCACACCCGATAAATAGTTACGTAGATAGCTTATAGCATTTAAGTTTAAAATAATTTTACATTAATACCAAATTTTAAAATTAAAAATCTTATATATTGATTTTAAACTAGGTATATAGGTACATATAAAGGGAAAGGGTTTGGTATTCTTTGATAATATGTGTGTGTATTTCTAATGTAAAGGGAAGATTTTTTTTTTTATTGCCCTTGTAGGCAGACGAACATACGGCCCACCTGATGGTGAGTGGTTACCGTCGCCCATGGACTTCAGCAATGCCAGGGGCAGAGCCAAGCCGCTGCCTACTTGTGTTTCGTAGAATGCATGGAACTCTTGGAACTACCGTTAGTACCATTCAAATTTATCTTATTCCTTTTACTCGCTAACGTAGTGGCTTACTATATAGCTGCTATAATATCCTATCGCTAACATTTATTTGATTAAGAAAATAATATGTCTTATAATAAACATGAGACGTAAAGTTCAATTATAATAATATAATACAAAAATATAATACAATTGATTTCAGTATAAATCAAGCAAAAGTTATATTTATTGTCAATGTTAAATATACACCTGTCGACAATATTAAATGTATCACAAACACACCATACAAAGACACATAATGCCACATAATATAATCATATGTTTTATTTTTATTTTTCATTAACAACACAATTAAATTTTATATACCGTGGCGTTTTATAGTCGCTGGTTCAGTTTAATGTTCTTATTTGAATTATTCTAGAACTCAATTATGAACCACGAATTAAAGGCAAAAACTCTGTTCGTAGTTGATCTTCACAATCATTTCCATTTATACGAATAGTTTGCCTAAAATTGATGATACTCTTTTATTAATTGAAGAAATAATCGTAATCACCAACATTGGAACTGCAGTTAATTCAATGATACATTATATTTATAAAACAACTAGCTGTCCCGGCAAACGTTGTGTTGCCGTAAATAAGATTTCTAAGAAAATTCTACTGTAGAAAAAAAAACCTCATTTAACCACATAATACCTCATTATAAACAAAAAAAATATATCCAAAAAATAAAAATAATAAATAAATGTTTGGGGTGGACAACCCTTTTCACTTAGGGGTATGAAAAATAGATAGTAACTGATTCTCAGACCTACTGAACATACTATTGATACACAAATAAAACCAAAAAAAATGGCTGAAAAATGTATAGTATTGTATAGCTCTCAAATATATTAAGTGTATAATCTATGATGTATAGTGAGTAAGACAGGAGACTTTTAGGCGGGAACGCGAAGAGTGAAGTTGTGTGATTTGTTTTATTTTGTCTATTTAGTGTTTCTTCGGGGTTAAATGTGTAATAATGGTGGTTTATTAACTGTCTATTATCT